GCCCACGCTGGAGCAGACTGGCTGGCACGACTTTTGTGACACCGCAGGAGACTCGTGCTGTAGCAGTTTCCCCCGAAGGACTGCACCCTACGGAGAGACTCACATGGGGGCAGTTTGTCAAGAACTGTCTCCTGTGAGAGGACTTGCGTTGGAGAAAGCATATGAAGACCATCTCCTGTGAGACTGACCCCACGGCGAGTGAGGAGGAGGCACTAAAGAGTGAGGCAGCTTCCTCCAGGAAAGGAAAAAACAGCAGTGGAGACAACAACTGATGAACTGACCACAACCCTCATTCCCCATCCCCCTGCACCATCCAGGTGGGTAAGTTACACAATCAGCCTCTCCTCACAGGACTTTCCCTCTAGTTCCTTCCCCAGCCTTATTTTTCTCCTCTCAACCTGCTCCAGCATGTCAGTACCTTTCTTGAAGTGAGGGGCCCAAAACTGCACACAGGACTCAAGGTGAGGCCTCACCAGGGCTGAGCACAGGGGCAGAATTACATCCCTACTCCTACTGGCCACACTGTTCCTGATCCAGGCCAGGATGCCATTGGCCTTCCAGGCAACCTGGTCACACTGCTGGCTCATGTTCAGCTGGTTGTCAACCAGTACTCCCAGGTCCCTCTCTGCTGGGCTGCTCCCCAGCCACTCCTCCCCGAGTCGGCAGCACTGCAGGGCATTACTGTGGCCAAAGTGTAGGACTCTGCACTTGGTTTTGTTGCATTTCATACAGTTGGCCTTGGCCCATCAACCTAGGCTGTCCAGGTCTCTCTGCAGCACCTCCCTGCCCTCCAGGTGATCAACACTCCCCACCAGCTTGCTGTCATCTGCAAATTTACTAAGTTGGGAGTGATGTTAAGCTTGGGAAGAAGGGAGGGGTAGGGGAGAAGGTATTATTAAGATCTGCTTTTATTTCTCATCGCTCTTCTCTGGTTTTGACTGTTAATAAATTTAACTAATTTCCCCAAAATTGAATCTGTTGCTTGGGACAGTAGCTGCAGGTGATCTCCCTGTCCTTATCTCAAGCCATAGGCCCTTCATTCTATTTTCTCCCCCTGTTCAGTGAAGTAGGGGAAGTGACAGAGTGGCTGTGTGGGCACCTCGCATGAGCTTTATTGAAATAGCTTCATTGTTGGCTCACTTGTCCTGACAGCAAGGGCAGGAGCTGAAAAAGGGACTGCAAAAGTAGAGGACACAAGACACTGAAGTTTCTAGTGCAGAGACAAGACTCTCTAGCTTGAAGCTGGAAGCAACTCAAGTCTTCCTTGTTTCAGGCACAAAATCAGATGCAATACAGACTTCATCACTGGGTTACAGGATGTACATGGACATACTTCAAATAAAGTTGAGGATGTAAGTCTTTACGGCTTTATTGCTAAAGCATTGCCAAAGTACATTGAAAAGTATATATCCTAGTTGACACCCATATCAGCTTTCTCCCTAGATAAATAGTACATACACAGTCTATTTTTCCTTTAAGGTTGCATAGGAAGAGGACCACTACTGTAATGTTTTAAATTAAGAATACCAATAAAGCTTAACACAAAGCCCTAAACAGCAGTACAAGTCAGGATACCAAGTGGCTGTGCTGATGTACATTTTGCTTTTTCAGAAGAAAATCTTCTTCCTACAAATCCTACCTTAACATAAGGAATATTAGCCCTTCTTCTGAGCCCCAGGACATCAGTTTCTCAAGCTGTTTTCTTTCTAGCTTGTTTCCATCATACGGATGCCCTTCTTCTAGCACTAGTGTAAGTTTCCCAGTAAGTACACCATTCAGAGCATCCAAAAACTTCCACTGGCAGCAACTCTGCATTACAGAATCAGATAAACAGGCAAATCTTTCTTTTTGAACACACAGCAGAAAATGACTTCATCGTGAGAGAAAGACTAATTTATCTGACTAGTGAAAAGAAAGTTAAAAGATTGTGTGTTTCATGCTTTAAGGAATTATTTTAAGCATTTATATAGCTGGTAAGTCTGCAAAGACCAGAGACTAGATTGTGCAAACTGAAGTACCTCAAGATCATGCCGATGTATGAAAAAAGTCCCTGAGCAGAAGGGACTTCTGCAGAAGGGATGTACAAAGAAGAAAGAAGTCTGCAGATCTGCCAAGTACTCTTCCTCTCCAAAGGGTAAAGTAGATAGTTGTTATCTACCACCAATTAGATGAACATTTTTCTGGACACAAACAGTTGAACAATCCACAATAAAAGGCAGTCATTACTTTCAATCCTAAACTACAAGAAATCCAACACAAACAATTTGACAAAATTTTACTTGAAGCTCAAGAACACAGCATGTGACTTGTGTTGGTTTGACTTTTTTTTTTTTTTTAGTGGTTTCTTTCCATTGATGTTTTTACATGCCAAGAGAACAGAGGCAGCAAGTGAAACTTGTACTCAGGGTCTTCACACTATTATTTTTAACAAATAAGGATCTAAGCTGTGACAGTTAACATTAAAAATACTTACGTACACCCTCAGATTGCATATCTATCATATCAAAGATTAATGAGACAATCTGTTTCACAGTACACTGTTAGTGCAGCATAGGTAGAAAGTTCTTTCACCAGTGTGATAAATACTGAAGCTCTTCCAAGGTTATCTGGACACTTGTTGAAGAACACAAAGCAACCAGCACAGCAAGTTTCCCCAAGACCTTAACTATCAGGTATCTCTTCTTCCTTCCAGAAGTTACATTAGTTGGTCCTATAAAAGATTGTTTCTTCTCACAAGATTGTTTCTCCTCACGTCAGTCAAGACCAAAGTCAGAACTCATCCATTTATTCCATTAGATATCCGAAGTGCCCACAAGCCCCATGCTAGGTATGTTACAGCAAAAACAGCTCTGATGTACAGTTGTGTACCCCTTTAAAAGGGAATAAAGGTTCATCCTCCCAACAAAATCTTGAGATAAAAGGCTGGCAGGACCCTTACACTCAAACGTTATTTTGAAGTTCTGTGCCTTACATTTTGAGGAGATTTTTCTTTACATTTTATAAGTGCAACTGAGAACTAGAGGCAAATTCAAAAATTAAGTCTATCTCAGGCTGCAATTTCACAAGTAGCTGTGGTGATCTAAGTGGCATTCTGCAGCCAAAACAAGATCTCACTCACTCTTCCATCTCGCAGTTCCACAAGTGGGTCTTACATGATGTGGCTTGAAACTGCTGCTGACAGAGCCTCAGCAGTTTCTGAAGAGGGATTTAGAGTACTAAGATGATTTTCACGTGGTTTAGTGAGTTTAGGCAGTTCAGAGTTCTAATACACTGATCTGGAAAGAAGTAACTCTTCCTTCTAGCTGCTAAGCTCCAAGCTCAGCTCATATGGAATTCAGTTTAAACTCAGAACTTGTCTTTCACTAAGTAAAAGGATAAGGAGGCCTCACCTGAAAGACAACATGCTACAAAGTAGAATTAATAGACACACCAAGAAAGATCTGGTATTTCTAAGGCTCAGAGTGGAGTCCTACATTTAGTCTGTATCACATACTGCTTTGCTTAAATAATATGAAAAATCTACTTACAAATATAAATTTCTCTCTATGCAACATCTGAAAGCTCCAAGAACAGCAATTTTACTTCTCCAGCACAGAAAAAGCACAGTGCTGATCTAACAGGACAGATTTATGCTTAACATTTTTATTTCTCTAGCCATGTTTTCAGTCACCAGTATTGGTTTGTGTGGTGCTAGACTGCAATGCATGTCTGACCCAGAGTAGTAAAAAGAGATGTGAAATGTTGCTGCACTGACAGGCTGTTGTGGTTCACACTGATCTTACAATTTTATGCCTACTTTAAGTAGGCTTCATATTTGATCTGGCAGAAAGCCCACTGATATGAAACTTGAACCTCAGATCAACGCTTTATGCCATAGAGCTGTGAAACAGTCAATGTCATTTCAGGAGTTCTAAAGCTCCGGTTACTGTATCACTGAACCATGACCTCAAGCTAGCCAGGATTATAACTAAGAGTTTGCTTGCTTAGCATTTTTCCTGGTCTTGTCCTTTCTTAGCCCCCACAACTGATTCTCCACCCCAATTGGCCTTACTAGTTGTTCAGTACTGACTTTATATGGTGCATGATGAATTACATCAAGGGGCAGACACAGTTAAAATTCTCCAAGGAAGTGTATTTTAAACCCAGATTGGTTCTCTCCATTCAGTTCAACATAAAACCCTACAAAGAGCTGCAGCTGCACAACCACTGGGATTGCCCTGTGAGTAAAACTACAGATTTCAACGCTTATAATAAACTACTAAAGCTAAAGACAGAAGAGTGTTTTAGTACACGAACTGTACCTGATGGGATTTTAGCAAGTCTAAGTTGACCAGACAGGCAACAAAATACAATCTAGTTCAACAATTCTAAGATTCTCACCATTCATGAAGTAAGAACAGCAAATAAAGTGCGAGACCTACAGTTCACTTCTCACCCATCTTGGCAGCATTATTTGAAGGCTCACAATGTATGGCTTAAATAACTGAAGGAAAGTGCAAACTAGAGATGAGAATCTGCTTCTATGTATACACAATGGTCTGAAGCAGTAGTAACCCCTACTCATCTTCCAAGTAAAAGCCAAACGTAGACATGCACACAGATTTAAAGCCTTCTAGTTTCCTCGTAAGTAAAATACAAAGTTGTAGTATCTGAAATATAAGATAAAAGCCAGATGATAGTAAGTTTCAGATACTATCATCCTCAGGAACCTCATTTACTTTGTGATTTTCACAACTGTGCTTTACCCCTCTCCCAAAGCATTTTTTGGTGTAAAACACAGTACAAGTTATACGGATGACTTGACAAAAAACACAGAGAAAAATACACACGTGTATCATGAAATACACAAAAATGTTGAGAATTACCTTGCCTCCTGTTTTTGGTACAAGAACATTTGCAAATATAATTTGCAATAGAGGCAAAAAAACCAAAACACTTTATTACTAAACTTAAAGCACTTGGCTTTGTATGTCAAGGAAAAAAAAAAATAGTATTTTTACCTGTTGCTTCTGGTATGCAGTGTTCGGGTTAATTTTGGACTCCAGAAGAAGAGAGCCTAGGAAAAAAAAAACACCACTTATTTACACATGTACTAGAATTTCAATCTCAACGTAAATTTTCTGATCACTCCTTCCTCAAGTAGGTATTAACATCATTTGTCCCAACAATAAGCCTGTTAAACCCACATTCCACAACCTTATATTTCATCTTTCCCTCACATAGTACAGAACATTCAACAGTGCTTTAAGGACTGGATTTTTAACTTCTTATTCCAAGTAATGACTTTTCCGTGGAAAATTTTTTAGATACAATAAAGTCTGCAAATAATCAGCACACAAAAAGCATCACAACTGCATTCCTTCGATCATTTACAGTTGTTTTGGACAAAATTAACCAATCAAGCGGTATTTGTTCTTGAAGTTTAGCTAAAGCACATACTAGTTTGCTGAAAAGCATATCTATAAAATTGTTAGAATGGCAACCATTGCGACTGCCAATGTCAAAATATACCAAAAGACAGTATAAACTCAGGAACGATGGTTTCACAGTAGCTTATTTAAGACACAGAACAGCAATTCTACTCTCATGTCTGTACTTCTGTGCCTTTCCTTTTGCATAAGCATTAGTGTTACTATGTCATTAAACGGTTTGGAGGGATGATCCAGGTGAAAACAACCCTTAAAACTGCTTTTATTTTTGGTCTAATCACTTCCCTCATCCACCTTGCTGCTCAGCTGCATAAATGTCAGTACATAAGAGGCTCTTTAAAGCCATAACTCAAATCTACCTATGTGCAGAGTTTCACTCAATATCCATGAAGTAGCACTGATACATTAACTTGCAGAGTCAGTCTTGTAATTAAAAGATAAGGCTGCAAACACCTCTTTAAAGAGGTACTTCTGCATTCACCTGCTTATATGTATTCTTTACGAGAAGTTCAAACTTTTTTAAAGAGAAGTCTCAACTTTTCAGTTTCATAGCTATAGTTCTAAGGCAGACATATAAATACTACCAAATATTTACCAAATATCCTCACAAAATACACACTAAAGAAAAATTACAATGCTTCAATCACCTCAAATATGGAAGCCTGAGAACTTGAAGAAAGAACAAGAAAACACATCACTTGGATTTGAAAAACGTATCTGGAATTGAAAACTGTATTTCCAAATCTTACACAGAATTAACAATGACTAGCTAATTTTCACTATTTAAACAGTATACTGATTATAAAATCCACAGCAAAAATTACACCAAACCAGTGAGGGGTTTTTTCTCTCCCTTTTTTTTTTTATTTTTACAAACTATCAATCTTATATGTTACATTTCCCCCCCAAAAAACTCAACACAGAATCAAACAACAAAAAAACCCCCCACAAAACACAAACACATTCCTTTCCTGAAGAACTGCTACAAATGAATAAAAAAAATATAGAATCTCAGGGTATTTTGGGTTGGAAGGGACCTCTAAAGGCCATCTAGATCAACCTTCCCTGCAGTGAGCAGAGACATCTTCAACTAGATCAGGTTGCTCAGAGCCCCATCTAACATGACCTTGAATGTTTCCAGCCAGGGCGCATCTACCACCTCTCTGGGCAACCGGTGTCAGTGTTTCACCACCCTCAGCAGAAAAAATTCTTCCTTATATGTAGTCTAAATCTACCCTCTTTTAGTTCAAAACCATTACCCCTTGTCCCATCACATCATACCCTGCTAAAAAGTTTGGGCCCATCTTTCTTTTAAGCCCCCTTTAATTACTGAAAGGCTGCAATAAGGTCTCCAGGAGGCTTCCCCAGGCTGAAGAAATCAAACACTCTCTGCTCATCCTCACAGGAGAGGTGTTCCAGCCCTCTGATCTTTTTTATGGTCCTCCTCTGGACCTGCTCCAACAGGTCCATGTCTTTCCTGTACTGAGGACTTCAGAGATGCACACAGTACTCCAGGTGGGGTAAGAAAGGTTATAACTTCATGAATTCAGAAGCTTTACCAAGGATGTTTACATTCATGAACTTACTATGCACATGATAATCAGATTAAAGTAACTAATCTATATTTTTTTGACTAACAAAATAACCTAACTGTGATGGCTGCTTCTTCCCAAGTCTGTTGTTCTACAACAAGCAGCCTTCACTAATGAAGATGGCTTGAGAAGCTATCACCCTGTCTAAACCTCTTGCAGTAAGAGTCGTTTACAAACTAAGATATAATTCAACATCAAAACTGAAGTAAACGGCCCTCAAAGGAAAAGAGGACACAAGAAAAAAATCCATCCCTGCCCCAGACCACATACACTACCCTTTCTTAACTTCCATCTCCTCTGCTAAAGCAGCTTATTTCTTTAAATATGACAGCATAACTGATGAAAAAAATATACAACTAAAAACTATAAAGTAGAACTGAGAAGAAAAACATCCAAAATGAGCTTTCTGGATGCATCTGATCCATGGTGCTACTTAGGCCACAGCCTTGAGCTTAGAATTTTGTGTTTGCCTAGCAAACATCTAAAACCAGCATGCCCTTTTCTGTTATTACCATCAGTTACAGACAGTATTTGACTTCAATCTTACTTTCAGTTTCAAAGCTTCAGCTTCAACTACATGAAATTTTAGAATATTATTTTGGGCTATTGATGTGGTTAACTAACTTTTTCTAGAAATATTTAATAGCAGCAAAAAAAGAATTAGAATCTTAAAAATATAATGTCAAAATTATTAATTGCTTTTACACTGCTGAATACATCTACAGATAGGGAAATCCTGAAATTAGTAGAATATCATACACTACTTTAAAAAAGTCTCAAAGACAACTGAATACAGACATTTCACCTTCCAGGCTAGACTCAGACACTAGAGAATGACCTCTTTACTAGACTTAGCACAAAAGAGCAATTCTTCTTCCCTATTAAACCTAAAGCTTGTAAGAAATACAAATCAAGCTTAACTTGCTTCTCATTACATGATTCAACTTATTCCCCACCATTCCAGACAATAACCAGGAAAATATGAATTTGGAGACACAAACATACCAAAGTAAAAGCTATGCTCCAGAACCTAAAACCACCCTAAATTCATCTTTCTGGAGAATGCAATGCAACTTGTTCCTCAAAAAGAACTGATGACATTAGAACCCAAAAAGGGCTCAACAACTCAAAATCAGTGTCTGTTCTACCAGTTAGTCCAGGGAGTTTATTTTCATACAGTAGGTTTTACAGGATCAGGCCTCTTCCTGGTATGAGCCAGTCTCACGTCTCTGTTATCTGCTTCTGGGAACCAGGCAACAGTAACATATGTCTGTAACACAAATATATTCTTTCGAAAAAGGTTACAGACATTTAACATACAGCAAACAAAGTTCTTCTCTATTCAAAGTCAATATCAGTATTGATTCCTAAGTACAGTTCGAGATGCTTACTCTTGCATTTGTCATAAGCAATTGCTTTCTAGGTAAGTATTTTTATCTTAGCACTATCCTAGAATACATCAGGACTATCCAGTCTACTTGATAAAAACATACCAAAAAAATTTCACCCAATGACTCTGTTCAACGTTAGGTAAGACCAGAAAACTTGCCTTAATACAAATAATGATTTTAATAAACCTCCCAAAACTATGCAGATATTTATTTTCTAAATTATAGCCTTGAATGAACTTGTAATGGTAACTGCAAAACACTGGTGCCAGAAAGTAACATCTGAGAACACCTATAAAGAAGAAAACACTGATTTCCAGAATTCTGTTATTTGCCATTATAATGCAATATGGCACAGCTGGGGGGTTTTGTTAGTATAACAACACTGTTCTGTGCTGTGAAAGGAATGTGTGTATGAGGAAGGACTTGTTCAAAAGACATTACATATAGAAACAGTGCTATTTTCAAGGATATTTAGAAAACATCAAATATCCCAATACAGTAGTCTTAAAAAACAAGTCTGAAGACTTGTTTACATATACGCACATGGAGGAGACCTGCTGATAGGGAATACTGCTCCTCTCCTAAACTTTTAAGTGGATCCTTCCTCAGAAGTAGAAAAGGTACAGTGTCGCTCATTACTCATCACCCAGTATACACATATTTGTTTAAGTAATTTCAGTCGAACAGCTGTTTTTCGCAAGACGCACAGAGTTTTAAGTTCTGCCATCAGTTCTGCTGCTACTGAATCACAGAAATCAACCCACAGAAACTTAGGAAACAGCTCAAACCAAGGTCCAAGAATGCACTCAGCATTCACAAGAGACTCTACTCCTCAGTCTAACACATTTCGAAAAAAGTCAAACACAAACAATAAGGAGAGGGGAAAACCAGGAGAAAAGAAATAAACACACCTCCTCCCACGCACTATGCTGGGTTTTTTTTCATTTTACTCTAAAGTACAAAAAAATTCTGTGTTGCCTCCCTAAAACTAACTAACTAAAATTCATCACTTGAGTTTCAGCAATGTAAAGCAAACTTAAGCCAAATTTTGGCAAACCCTTCTGCCAATATTAATAGGTTACTGGTACCTAGTCTGAAAAAACAATGAGGATGCAGATGCCTACCTACCCTGTCGCAAGTCACTAACATAGAATTCAGAGGTACTACAACTTGAGAATAAAAATGTTACATAGTTCCTAAAAGAAAGCTTGCAAACACGGACTCTTAACTCCAGAGTTCATTTTGGCTTGTCAAATAGTTTAGTTACAGGACTGCTTTTTATAAAGCTTTAAATAAAAGTATACGCCTTCAAATTAAGCCGTTAGTTGAACAGTTAAGTTCATTTTAGAGGTCACTTCAGTCATATGGGCTCAGAACAAAAAAAAAGTGATCTGAAACCATGCAGTGAAAATCTAGAAGCACACAGACATTTTAAGAATGAAGAAGGCCACAGCAGCCTAAAATACTAGGTGAGAAACAGGCAAGAAATAAGGCTTCTGATTAAACACAGAAACTCACATGGAAGGTTATAATTTGTAAGAAAACAGTTCACTGTGCCTCTATGGCAATTCAAGCAGAATATGCTGCAACTAGGAACCACACAGAAAAACCTCCTAAGTGTAAAAATCTCACACCAATTCCCCATTTCAAAGCATAATATATCTGATCTGACAGCAGTTTATGGTATTTCTGTACTATAATACATTCCTCCAAATTGCTGTCAATGACTTAAAGTTCAGTGTCTGGGAGCATTAGACATCTGAGACAGCAGAGATCACTCATTGGCTCTCAACTGTTTTCCTTTAAAATGGTGCTGAAAAATCACCAACCCAAGAACAAAAAAAACAAAAACAAAACACTACTATAGATAAAAAACACTCACACTCTTACTGAGTTCCTACAGAATCACAGAATACTGTAATAGGAATAGAGTATGAGAGCAAACATACTGCTCCAATCCCAGATAATAGCTTACCTTGGACTTGGCACACTGGTTGTAGCTCCCTTACCGAACACCTTGACCCTGCCATAAAATTTCAACCAATTGTAAAGCAGCCATGGAACTACACCATGTCACAGCTGCACTATAAAAGACTGAGCTATACGCTGGCCCACACTGTCAGCCAAACCAACCTCTGTCAGCCGGTGTGCAGCCAAACGGGCCCTTTAACGGGTCCCTTTAACGGGAGTGGGAATTTCCCATGCCCAGCAGGAACTCCTGCTAACGCCCCCCACCGGCCTAGCCCAACTCAGGACACAGAGCCCTCGACTTCAGGTAGATCCCAAGGTCTTCAGTCAGCTTCCTGCAGTAAGGCAGTGAGAACATGCCAGCATGCACAGGATCAATCTGCGCTCAAACACTAGGAAAAGCTGGTTTAGAAAAGGAGGAAGGAAGAAGTTTCATTGTGGAAAGAGGAGGAGCTGACAAAGAAAGACAATACAAGAATGCAATACATGGAGACGAATGGTGTGTAGGTCTCCTTCCTAGTACTTGGATGTTTCTGAAAACAAGGAAAAAAACCCACAACTACTTCATTTAGTTTAAAAAGCACATGAGAGAACACACGAATTGCATAGTACCCAAAACACAAGCCTGGCATTACCTTTTTCCAGAACAATTCCTTACATGTAAAAATGAACATATTTACCTTCAAAATTAGCCCACAAACAACTGGCACTGGAAGTAAACAAAATATAAACCAAATTTCATGAGCTGGTTACACACGTAAGTCAGAAAAACTAGCCTATTAATAGAGTGCACATTTACCCAGGACTGATACTACCTACTAAATTAAGAACTTAGGCTCTATATATTATTCAATACTCTTGAAGTACATATATGCTGTTTCAAAGAAGTCCAATGTATGTATACTATCAAGTATATTTGTGTATACCCAGTGCAATCAGTAAATTTGAGACAGTTCTGCACGGATTAGAGTATCTTAGCTATGCAACACGAAATACTGACTTCATCTTTGGTTTGGGATCATTTATACCAATATGTATCTTCCTTCTTACAGATGTTCTTTTACAACAAATAAGCTGGCAACAACAGTCCAATTCAGGTTCTAATCGGTCTTAAGGATACATATCTCACTGAAAGGTAACAAAGGGATTTAAGTTTGAACGGGCTATCTCTTCACAATCAGGTTATGAGCTGCAATTCTTTCGCTTTCTTTTCTAAAGGTGCTAAAAATATGAACCAAAAAAATTGTTCAGAGACAGAAGACATGACAGTTTTGAAACACGAGCACAGCAACCATGTAGACAGAAAGGACTTACCTACAACAATATACTGTAAAGACTGTGTAAAAATCTAGCTGAAATTAAACTAAGTCTGTTTCCTTTTGAATGTTTTCTCTTACAGCAAGAAGCTGGCCAAACTGTAAGTTCATCTTCAATGTAAAATAAATTCATACTTGGTTTTATTTAACTTCTTAAAGTATAACCAAGAAACTACCAAACCCTGATTCATGCTTATCAGACGCTCAATTATCAAAATCTTGCTTAGATGAAAGTCTGACTCCTCCATATCAGTTTAAGATCTTTGCTGTAGAGATTATTGTAGTTTGTCAGAACTTTCTCAAACAGTATGAATTAATGATTCTCAAGTTGCTTTTCATGCTAGTTCTTACAACATAAAAACCAAATAAACAAAATTACAAGGTCTGTTGATAGCCACAAGCTACAAGTCACTCGATTCAGTAGCTATATACCTAATGAAATAAGTCCTACAACGACAAACTTTATGAGCAAAATGTTACATGCTAGATATTGCAAAGTACATATTTTTAAATCTACTCTGATCATAGCAGTCATGAACTCACTTAACCAATAATCAAGACTACAACAAACACATAGCAACAGGGCCAGATAGTACTACTCAACCTACACTATTGTCATAGGTTGCCAGAAAATGTGGAGAAAGCTGATAAAGCAGGGTTTAAAAGGTATTTATGGGAAGATCTAAGGATTGAAGGACTAAGAACTACTATTGCATTAAAAAAAACAACTCTGAAAATGCTGTTCTGTCCACTTTGTCTTTACTGCTATCGTAACTGTACTTAGATAACTCTTAGATTTTTAGAATGTCTTGCCTAATCCTTACTATCAAAGAAAAGGTGGGAGAAAGACAGAGAAAAAAGGTATTAGTCATCCAATGACCTTTTAAAAGTTTTTACTAAAAAACATGATATAAATTCTGAACAACTCCTTTCACAAGGCAGTTGTTTCCAGAAACATCTAAGGAAGGATACATCACAGTGATCAGTTTTGAAACAAGTTCACTGGGCATCTAGTGACAGACCACTAGATATCCAATCCAGACCACTAGATATCCAATCCATACAAAATTTACAAGACCTGAACACATTTTGTATGCAATGCTGTACATTCACTACGAACCAAGTGCCTACCATGCTTGCACTTGATGGCAATCTTCCACTTCTTTCATTTGGCCTAAACACAGTGCCTACTTGCTTTTAGGAAATATATTTGAATTACACAGCACAACATTAAGGTAACAAACACAAAGCTAAGCCCAGTTCATTTTCTGGGTAGGCAGAGGAAAGATTGTACCTTCAGCCATCCACACTTACCATCACTCTCTGCCCTGACGAGCAGGGACATGCCCTTCAGCCTCTCCACGTAGCAAGAGGACACATGTCCTGTGCCTCGATCATCCCACTGGCGGTCCTCATTTAGCGTGTAAACCTTCACCCTCCGCCGGGTGTCAGTCATCCTGCC